AATTGGCAGGATCTGTGGTGAGAATGGGAGCTGACCCCGTCACGTGGAATTCAGTCTCGAACTTGGGCTGCTGGCTTTCTGCCAGCTTCTTAACTAGTCAGCACTCAGAGAAGAACTGGGTAAATTGTTTTTAAGAGATATGTAATATAGATAACCATGGGCACCTCACACATTTCAAAAGGCAGAACATTCCAGGGTATATGAATGCTCTGAAAAATCACTCAGTAGTGACCAAAAATTATGTTCTGTGATCTAAAGGACCTTCTCAAAGGTCTCAATATTAAAGAGATCTATAATGGTGAAGGCATTTCATCAGGTATTTTGTTCCCCAAATTATTCCAGTCTTCCATGTTATAAGCAAAGCCATACATGTGTTTCAGTAGTTAATTGGCATCCAATCTTTAGGGCTTCAACAAAAGTGTGCAACATGTATCTGGGGACATGTATTATGTCACATTCTGAACAGCTGCCACTTCCAGATTAAGTATTCTGCAGTAAACAAAGTATGACGTTGCCATTATATGGATAAACCTGGATCTAATATACTCAGTAAAATGGTTGGATTATAATTCAACAGAATAGATTTCAAGATATATTGAATAATAAGCTTATAACTATTAAGGATTTTAAAAAGCAAAGTAAATTACTTGTCCCTGGAAGAGTGTTATTTCATTCAGTAAGTTAGCTTGCTATACACATGTAAGCAGCAAATTTTAATTCATTGCATATTTTTATTTTGATATGCATATTTTTAAGAATTATAATTCCACAGGATTTCCACAACTCAGTGATTCCAAAAGTTGTGTTCACTGGGAAAGGATTGTTTACGTATTAGATGACAGATTCCATAAGCTAACTGACAGTTGCTTCTGTACAAGACAATTTTCATATCTTTTTACTGTATCTGCTTTTAATAAAGTACCATTTATACTGCCTCTCCCTATGGGTTGCATCTTTCTGATCTTTTTTTCTGTTCTGTTGCCAAACTCTTTGTTCTTCAGCATCTTTTTGGTTCAGTTATAACTGCTTTGAAGTTCTATGTTTTAATTCAGAAAAGCTAACTCAAAATTCTGTAATGAATTGAACCTAATTTTTAAAAATAGAAACAAAAACTTGAAAGCCTCGGCAATCCTTTTGTAGTGCTATTCATATACAGTAGTAGAAATCAGAATCAGAATATCACATTTCACACATCAAAATAAGTAGAGACCAATGCTTTGTGGTCTTCAGCACAGCTGGTATTCTGTAGGTATAACTTTTATATATTTGTAACATAATATTAATAACATAACAACCACATAATTATGCAATTGTTACTGGACAAGGACACTGCAGTTTCTCAGGTCTTCACAAGCAGAATGTGTTTTTTACACAAATATAAGTGTACTATACATCTGCTCACGATGAAAATGGCAGCTTAATGAACAAATGCTTAAACCTGGCTTGAGGGAAAGAAAACACTGATGATGCATCTATCTTAATTTCAGAAAGAAATTGGATGGTTTAACTATAGACAAGCAGTTGAAGGCAGGAATGGAAGAGAAACTACTCCCAAATAGAGAGCATTATAAAAGAGGTGAAGCCTTACAACAAAACCTCCAAACAGAATAAATATGCCAGTAATAATGGGTTTCATATGGAAAATGAGTTTTCTTATATAGAGAAATGTTGGAAGAAAACATAGTTTGCATATGGGAAGGTTTCTGTATAGTAATAACTCTAGTAGATGAGATATTCTACTAGCGATTACCTGATTAATAGAGATGTTTGGAAAAATATAATGAATGGAGAATGGAGAACAGAATTACAATGGCCAATGTGCGAAGGAGTTATGGAACACACACACACACAAACATTGAAAAAAAGTGTGCAGGAATGTCAAAAACTAAGTCCAACCACCAGGACATGCATTCATGTTCCTGGATTAGGTTGGTATTGTGAATATTTTTGACACAAATCATTAATTCAAGTCCAAGGAGAGTTATGTTATGTTATGTTATGTTATGTTATGTTATGTATGTAGAAGCTAGCTGTTACATTATAACGTGCAAACTGTTGTCTGAATTCAACTGCTTTCCTTGACATGAGGCAGAGTTAAATGGAAGCGGTGTACCACTGATCAATTAAGCTGAAGATGTATTAGCAAGAGCCTCATTACTGCAATGATGGTTACTACTGTGACTCCCACTCCTCACAACTGTCACTGTTCCAACATAAGGACACTGAACAGAAAGCATGGAAGTGGTGCCAAGATATATATACATATACATATACATACATACATACAAACATACATATATATATATATACATAATTAGAAATAAAAACAAAAATGCGACTCTTGGGAGTATTCATATTGTCAAAATAATGATCACCAAGAGAATATCTATCCAAAAATAGAATTTAATCCACCAAGCTTTCGTCAAATACATTTGACATCGTCAGGGTTAAAAGGCAAAGGCCGGGGGAAGTCTTATATACAGCTGTTTAATGCCTGTTTCCGGCTCCTGGAGCATGTCATCGGCCCCAGCTGATCGAATTGAGTCCCAAGCACACCCCCCACATCAGCACCTATCCCCCTTCCATTGCTAATTTTCATTCTGTCATACGTTACTCTGTTAGCTGTTTCAGGGTTGGTCATGTTGGGGGTCAGGATCTTTTCTCCTCCCCTGCAATATATATGGGTCTTTGGTTATTCAGGTTTTCTCCCGCGTAAAATTTTACGCGGGAGAAAACCCGAATAACCAAAGACCTACATACAAACACGCGCGAAAACCTCAGAAAACATACATATATATATATATACATACATACATACACACATATTAATTAGTATTCTGTTTTCTCCAGTCTTTAATTTTCCATCTTGACAGATGCATTCTGAAAATAACTGTAGTCATTTATGGAGAAAATAATCTAGCTGCTATAGATGTTTTATTGTTATTAACAAAAATAAAGCAGTAGCTACCTGCTATTAGGAAATCCACCAACCATATTACTATGGTCAGTGGTCTATTTAGTATCTAGCTTACCAAAGAAAAATAAAATAAAAACAAGACTGGAAAAAGAAATATAATTGACTTGCTGATAGGTAATTTGTGGAGTCCCAATTAGACAACACAATCTACATTCTTAATTACCTAATGATAATATATATTGCATAAATGCATCAGTGTATGTACAATTGATGTCAGATTAATTGAAATAAATAATCAATCAAGCAGCTGATGTCAGATTAATGGCATAAATAAATCAAGCAAGTATGCCTGAATAAAGCCCAGGACTTCTATATAATTAGAGTAGAACCATTTATAACAATTATAATTGACTTCCATCAATGTGAATTTGAGATAATATAGGGTGAATCTATGGTTAAACTTTGGCTTTTAACAAAAAAGTTCTCTGCATCAATTACTTCTAGTATAAAATAAAGGTCAGAATAATTTATAAACATCTTTATATACATATACATGTATTTGAAGATTCACAGTCTGAGTTGGAAACATTTTAGGTGTCAGACATCATTGTCATTCTTTGAAACACCATGATATCTGGAGGAGAAGATCAGGACAGTGGAGATAGCTATAGTATTCCTTGCATTCCAAGGTTGAATTCCAGGATCAGGGAAAGAGGGAACCTTAACTGAAATACTGTATGACAAGAAGACCAGAGTAAAAAAAAATGACTAATCTTCTGGTTTCACATAGACCTTGAATTAACAGATTGCACAGTGAACCATTTGCTGAGTTTGAGGAATCCCTCCCTGACTACCTGGCTTATCCCAATCTTCAAAGGGTTTGCTTGTAGAGACCGTGCCTTGATTATTCCTCTGGCTTTTGAGGCTTTATCTGGAAGGAACATGAGAAGTTCTTGCCCCAAACACTTTTTTGGTGGAGTGCTGAGCTTACCTACTATCTTTCCTAAGTAATTAGCAGGCCACTAAGAATTAGACCCATAGGATGCTGCATTAGCAGGGTTTGTATCCACATCAACTGTACAAAAAAGCATACAAAGGAAGCTATGGAAGCAAACATTTTTCTTGTGCTGAGTTTAAGACAATGGCCTGTGAGATTCAGGCAGAAGACCAGTGGGTAAATGCAAGTTTCCTCAGTTCTAGTTTCTATCCTGAAATACTTATGTTTTTCAATCCATTATTCAGTAATTATGAGGATATCTGGACATGCTATGCGATCAACCCATTATTTAAAAAAAAGATGATACCTGGACATGCCACGTGATCAATCCATTATTTTACAGAATGTGTCAAGAACCACAGATAGTAAAAACAAACAAACAAAAAAGAAGATCCATAGACCTGCTTTTGTACATAATGTCTGAATAAGCTCTTCTATCATTTATTTTTGAGTCTTAGTAAATTAGACAGCAGAAGTATGTCAATATAGTTGGGCCACAGGAATAGTGTCTGTAAAGAAGCCAAATTATTTTCAAGAACTATTTTCTTAGTATATCTTACCAATGAAAATGAAATCTAATCCCAACACTCCCTGATTTCACCCCTAATGTCAATCTTCTCTTCTATATCTTCTGTTTTTCTCAACTGCAGATGAGATGAAAATGCAAATAGGATATTCATGAAATGGCTACAGAATCATTTCAGTTTCTTTCCTAATTTCAAACCAAACCTCCAACCAAAACCTAAAGCGCTTAATCCTGGTAGAAAAAGTAATTTAAAGTCTATGATTCATTATATACAGAGAATGTTTTCAAAAGAATATGTAATATCAATGTGTCTGGAGGGATTTAAAATTTCAAACAGGGCACTAGAAAAACTGGCTTGGGTAAAACATGCATGTGCAATTGATTTCACTTATAGTTTGATAAAGTACTTGGAAGGAATATACAAATATACATATTTTGTAATTAAAAATTTAGAGTGATAAAAATCAACTCATTAATGACTTTCCTCTTTGAGTATTCAGAGTTTAATTTAACAAGACAGAATGACTTCAATGGAATTGCTGTTTGATGAGGCTTCTTACCGTTGCAGCCAACCACATGATTTCGACATTCTTTCTTTTTTTAGTCTGAATATTTTGATGAAGATTTTCTAGTAATCCTTTTAAATCATTCTGTTCTTGAAAAAGTGGTAGGCCTGAAAAGGAGAAGGAAGCAGTCAGTGATAATATTTCCCATTCATTAAAAAAGTAGCTACACAGTCCTTTCAAATACATGAGTATTTTCATCTAACAAAGTAATATCATTATTGATATATTGACTGACCAAATAATTATGTTCATTAATATAGATACTATTATTTGAAAGTTTCTTCTGAAGTACAAAGCACCCAGTGTCTGTAATTTGAATGGAAACCGGAAGCATTCCACAATCAACTTTATTTCTGTTTCCTCTCTATAATTATTCCTAATACTGCTTTTCTATAATTGCAACAGGTGAACAAAAAACACAATACCCTGGATGGGCAGGAGAAAGGAAGACATGAGGAGTCAAGAAAAAGAATAATAATAACAAACATCTTAATTTAAAACACTGTTTTAAATGTAGGCTCTTTATAATAGTTTTATTACTATTGAGTTTTACTACGGAGCTTTAATCAAAGAAATTATATAAAAATTACAGAACACACCAGCTATTCATTACTAGAATACAGTAGCTTATGTTATAGTGATGATGAGAATTTTTTTGATCGGGTTGATGGAGAAAAAATTAGTTCAATAATGAACCTTTCCTTCAAACAGTGGCAAGCCGCTGTGTTTGTCTCTTGCCTTTTGCTATTTTTCCTCCTATCTTTTTACATTTGCTCTTGTTGAAATCCTGCCTCTTTTCAGTTCTTACCAAATGTGGGGCAGGGAAGGTGTTAAATGGATGAACTTCTGTTTTTCTATTTTATCAATTTAAGATGTAAATGTAAGAAACAAAAAACAAAACAAAGCAATAAAAAAGAAACATCTTTGTTTCATATCACATTTGTCTTAACCCATAACAAAATCACACAGAAATTGTATTTGCATATTGACAATTTGGAAAGATATTAAAATTAAAAGCTTCAGGTTGTTTGGAAATTTAGGAACTGTAATGGCTGGGATAAATGTTGAATTTACATATTATTAAGCTAGTTCTAACCTTTTGCAGTAATTTCACAAACTATAAGCAAGAAAAGTGCTTAATGCGTCAATTTTTATTGATTTTTCTAATTACAAAGATGACTGTTTTAACATTCAAAAAACTAGTGGCATTTTTGATCATCTGTCATAGTTAAACACAGGTTTAACTTGATTAGCATTAATTCCAGTAGCTTCAAGAGACTCAGCAAATAAAACTCCATAAATAATGCTGTTATCAGCTGGAAAATGTAGGCTTGCATCGGTTCTGCAAATGCACTAAAATATTGATTAAAATCTTTTATATCCTAGGGAGAAAGCAATTTTAAATAACAATAGTCTTCATGAAAATCCAGAAAAAAATGCTGCAGTTCACTAAAGATCACCTGAAATAAATAAATTCTTATTGAATAACAACAGTGATTTTAAGTCTCTCTTTTGAGGTCTTCTTATATTTTGATGGCAGGTATAATCAGGTCTTAACCTGAACCAGGGATTTTCCAGGGCTCAGTGCGCAAAGGCATTTTCATTACAAGGACAAAGAAATAATAAACAGCCCAAAATTCAGTATACGAAAATAGGAAATTAGATTTTCTTCTATTTGTAGCATTTGGTCATAAAACAAAATGCATAGCAGAAAGAGAAGAAAAGGAAATTTTGGGTCAAGGAACGGAATACTAACATGGAAACAATTTAATACATAGAATATCTACATCAAATTATATTTGATGTTCCTGTACTATAAGTTTAAACATTTTTATATTAGATGTGCTCCAATTTTCAAGAGAGCATGTGGCGTTAGGACTTTTAATTCTTCACTTACAAGCCACAGTTCTTATGAATAAAATTTAGTCTCATGAGATATTCAGCACTGAAACAGTAAGGTGACAAAGAAAAATAAGTAATATCAGATACATTCGGAAAACTTCATTGAATGTACAAATAGGGAGAGCAAACAGAGAAACCTAACATAAGAGTTTGGTAGAAGGAATGTGGGCATCCGTTCCAATTACCTTGAGCAGAATGAAGAACAAAGGATCCCTTGTGGTGATGTTCATGCAATGTTTGAAGAGAATCTAAACCAACATTCCTATGTTTCTACCAAAAGAGAATAAAAAAAATAACATGAAGAGAGAAGTTCTATACTTGCACATACCAGGGAAGATGAAAAGTTCCTGGAGAAAATAAGAGAAGCAGAGAGGAACATGAAAGCTGGAGTAGCTACTGGAGGAAAGTAAGGGAAGCATGTCACCCAGTAAAGCAAGAGAAATAAGTGGTTTTCAGTGACTGAGCTCAAAGCATGGTATCAGCTTCTTGCTCTTGAAGATATTCCATACCTAACTGGATAAATCTCATTAGCCCAGTTTAGCAGAACAATGTGGAAGACACTTTGACCATGAAGTTGAAGAAAAAAAAATGAAAAAAGAGAAATGTATTGTAATGATGGGGGGTTCCCTGTGAAATGAACTGAAACTGCATTAAGACTATGCAGACTAATATGATGTCATGGGAGGTGTGTTATATTCCAGGTCCTCTATCCTAATTATGACAGACAAATTGCTGGGTTTCCTTAATCAACAATAACAGGAGGTTAACACTAGCCACCTCATATAAAGAAAATCTATACAAGATGTTTTTTTTTTTTTTTTTTTTATTGAAATTTTTCAAAAGTTTTACAAATAAAAATCCACCCCCCCCTCCCCAACCACCCCACCCCCCCCGACTTCCCAGAACTGAATATAGGATTATTTAACAAATATTTTAAAAATAACATTTGCAATTTATAAAATAATTAATAATAATAATAAAAATCACAATAATAATATATATAATAATAATATAGATAACATAAACTTTAAAATGAATAATATATACTAAAAAAGAAAAAAAAAAAAAATAAAAAGAGAAAAGAGAGAGAGAAAGAAGAAAGAAGAAAGTAGACGAAGAATAAAGCATATATATATATATAAAAAAAAATATATGAATAATAATACATAAAAAATGTATATATATAAAAAAGAAAAAGAAGAAAGAAAGAAAGAAAAAACAATCATTACAAATTATAAAAAGGCTAAATAATATTTTTCCATATCCAAATTATGTTGTATAAAATTTATCCATTTTTCCCATACCGCAAAAAATTTTTCTTGAGATTGCTCCTTTAAGAAAGCCGAAATCTTTGCCATTTCTGCCAAATACGAAACTTTATGAAACCATTCTTGTAAAGTAGGCAAAGATTCCTTCTTCCAATATTGTCCTATTAACAACCTAGCGGCTGTAATCAAATTTAACATCAATATAACCTCCTTAGCATCACAGTCAATAACAATACCTAGTAAAAATAATTGCGGAGTAAATTTTACCCTCCTTTTAAAAATTCTTTGAATATTCCACCATATCTTAATCCAAAAAGCTTTTATATGCTTACACGTCCACCAAATATGGTAATAGGTAGCATCCAAATATCCACATCTCCAGCATTTCGGCTGTAGATTAGGGTACATAATGGACATTTTCTTTGGGTCAAGGTGCCATCTATAAAACATCTTATAAAAATTCTCTCTTAAATTTTGCGCTTGTGTGAATTTAACATTTCTTATCCAAATAAGTTCCCAAGTATCCATTGAAATCGTTTCACCAATATTCTGTGCCCATTTAATCATACAATCTTTAACTAGTTCAAGTTCTGAATCTAATTCCACTAAAACCCCATAAACTCTCTTAATATGGGTTGGCCTTTGATCTCTTACTTGTTTTAAAAAAATTTCATCTTCTCTAAGCCAGCCCATTTTACAATCCATCTTCCATCTATCCACTATTTGTCTATATTGGAACCATGAATAAGTTAAGTTTTCATGTGTTAATTCTTCCAAAGATTTTAACTGCCAGTCTTGGCCATCCCATCTTAATAACTGTACGTAAGAGACCTTGTCCATATTTACCCCTTTCCTTATACCTTCTATGGCATGCCGAGGTATAGCCCATAATGGTATTTTGAAGTCACTTTTATAATACTTTCTCCACACTCTTAGCAAAGAGTTTCTTATAATATGAGACTTAAAAACCCAATCCACTTTTTTATTAAATATTAAATAGGCATGCCATCCAAAAAATAGGTCCCAGCCTTCCAAATGAAGTATTTCTGTATTTGTTAAATTCACCCAGTCGCTAATCAATGTCAATACTACAGCATCATAATACAATTTCATATTTGGTACCTTGAGTCCACCTCTCTCACGAAAATCTTGCATTATTTTAAGTTTCACCCTTGGTTTTTTCCCTGCCCAAACAAATTTATTAATACCTTTTTGCCATTCATCTAAATTACGTTCGTTCTTTAAGATAGGTAACATTTGAAACAAAAAAATAAACTTTGGCAGGACATTCATTTTAATAACTGCAATTCTGCCCATAAGGGATAACTGTAAATTATTCCAGTTTTTTAAATCCTTCTGTACCTCCATCCACAGCTTTTCATAATTATTTTTATACAATTTTACATTAGAAGCAGATAATGTAACCCCCAAATATTTTACCTTATCAACAATTTCAAAGTCTGTTAAGTTAACTAAAGCCTGTTTATCACCATTAGTCATGTTTTTAGCTAATATTTTGGTCTTATTATTATTAATTTTAAAGCCAGAAACACGTCCATATTGTTGAATCAATTGTAATAATTTCACCACCGAAGAAACAGGTTGAGACAAAGTAACAACCAAGTCATCTGCAAAGGCTCTTAATTTATATTCTTTTTTATTAATTTCTATTCCTTTTATTTCTTGAGACTCCCGAATTTTAATCAACAAAATTTCCAGTGTTAAAACAAACAATAACGGAGACAACGGGCATCCCTGTCTTGTTCCTTTTTCTATTACAAAAGCCTCTGACAAACCCCCATTTACAATAATTTGAGCAGTCTGTTTTTGATATATATTGGATAATACTTGTAATATATTTTGTCCAAAATTCATCTCCTTGATTAAACACAGCATAAACTGCCAATTCACTTGATCAAAGGCTTTTTCAGCATCCA